AACAAAATCTTAAAATGCTTCACGATTTAAGAAATAGCTGGGTATGCTAAACGACTACGTCACTATTTTACCTAACAGCGCTTCAACCTGACATCACTGCTCCCTGCGTGTCCTGTCATACCATACTTTAGAGTGCAACGACAGATAAATAGGTTACTGTTTTTTTATTTATATTTATGTATTTAGAGGATAATGTCCTGAACGCTTCGGTCAATGAGGAGCGCGTTCTTACAGTATACCACCGTAGTCTCCTAATTAGGTGCACTATTCAGAGAGGCGTACCAATAGTTCTCGAAATAAATGCATACATCAAGAAATCAATAAAAAATTGATGGAAATGAAATAAAATGAGCAAAGGAAACTTTGTAACAAAACAGAACAAAATGAAATTTCATACCTCAGGCGCATAAGCATCTTCACCAACAATAATACGACCGTCATCTGTGCGTACAGCGATGGCAGGGAAGAAAGACTGCGGAAGGCTGGGTTCGGTCGTTAGCACACCACCACGAATAGAACACGAACCGATTTCAAGTACAACCACTCGCTGAAGACGAAAATATTAAAAGAAAAAAGGACGAAATGGACATTTTACACTAATGAGCCCTTTTCGGGATGCGCCACGCATTCAACTTCACTCGGAATCGCAAAGGCATTTGAACGCAATTTGGCCCATACAACGGCTTGCAGGGTCCAACCAATGTACAAGGCTGATGCATTGTACTTGGGCTGACGGTCTGTAGCCCTCCGGTTGAGTTAGGTAGCAAATGACCAACCCAGTAGGGGTTGCCTCTTCCACGATTACTAATCAGCAAAACTCCTTCTTTTGATATCAACTTTGCTTTTATACCGTCCTGCTTTCGAAATTCCTCAGAAATTCATGACGTTTCGCTACAGCTCAATAAATGCGACCCTATCGATAGAAAAAAGTGCTGGGTACACCACGTTTTCAAGTAAAGTGGAGTTTTCAAGTAAAATTTCACCTCAGTGAGATGTTGGAACGTCTTCGGAATCGGCTTAACATAGGCATCAATTTGAGAAGAAGCAGCATGAGAAAGAAGTGAATGTCGCCATTTGTCGAATACATTTGATTGTACGCTAAATAAAAACTGTATTTTCAAACCTAAGAGCGTATTTTCATAGGCATTTCCCCCTTTTCATCCTCAATGTTTACAGGGCAGAACTTCATCCTCCTATCGTTTTGTGCGTGGCAACTTCGTCAACACCCCCAACTCTCAGCTTCCACATGACAGAGCTTGTTTTTCGTCAGCTGTATTCGCGAAAAGAAGCAAAAACCACCACTCAAATATTGTTAGGCGAATCCCGTAAACAACCCGGCTGTGAACAAGCCACCAGACGTCCGGCAACTTCGACAAACATGAAACTCATGTTTTGTTAGTTGCATCCGTTTCACTTCTGTGCTTGGCGAAAACACTAATGAAAACTGACGATTCAGTAAATATCGGCGAAAACAACGCAGCCCCTAGGAGATTTGAGCTAACACGCTTCAAGACAAAAAACAACAATAAGTCGCTCGAAATAGAAACGTGAAATATGTTGCAAGTCGAAAACAAGACGAAGTGTTCAGAAGCTCTAAAATCTGAGAAAAAAAAAACTTTTTTTCAAAGCTGAACAAACCGTAATGTCATTCTGATATGGTCGCGCCCGCCATGGATGGTAAGCGTTCGTTCATCTCTGTTTGCGTCCACATCAACACCGGAGAGTACGATTTCTTCAGCTGGCGCCTCATCAGCACAATGAGACTGAAAGTGAGAAATGAAGCAGGATGAGCAAAAATCAAAGTTCCTAAGGGGGACCGCCGTTCGCTATAGCAATAGTTCCCATCATTTTTTACTATGTTAGAACTATTTCGAACTGAGCCATGCGCCGGGGTCTATTTCAACTCTATTATAACTCTCTGCACTTACACAAATAATAAACAAGCTTTTACATATGCGGGTGAAACTTCCCTGAGATTTCGAAGAGCGTTCTAAACTATTCCTTTGCCCATTCCTTATAGTTCTTAATACACCCACTCACTCCTACTCAGCCTCACCAATTAAATTCGCCATTTTCATAACACCGATCTTAGCAAGCATAGAATGACATCTGAATCGAATGACATGTGAATTTCATCTTTTTTTGATTTGCTTTTTTCTTCTTTGGAGCGCAGAGCGTGAGCGGAATATGAAACTTTGGGATCACGCCGTTAGGTTCAAACTCACAGCCGCACAACGCAGTTATCGTTCTTCAATATATAATGCTATCGAAAAGCGAAAACGCCTAGGAACCGTTACCCTTTACTAATGGCGTCGCAATTGCTCGGTGAGCATTACCGTCAACAACATGCTCCCCATCCATCAGCTCAAATATTGCCAGCGGGGTGATGACGTTTTCGCTAGCAAAGACGCTTCGAGAAAGGAAAAATAAACGTCAAAAAGGGCGGGTATGTAACCTTAGGACTCTAGCAAACTCAGTGGCCTGAAGACTTCGGCCTATTGGAGATCGCCTCCACTCTATGGCACCACTTGCACAACACAAAACACTGTTTGTACCAGCGCTCCGACATGAACCTTGGACTTGGTCGTCGAATGTTGGGCCCAGATTTACTGCAACCCTGAGTTTTTCCTCAAGAGCTTTTCAGCTATGGTGTCCCTGTTTGCGGCCTTACTCTTTAGAAGAAAGCTGTGGCTTAGCGGTGAAGATCAGAGAGGACTGCTGGTCCCCCTTGTCCAATGCACTACAGGAAATGACCACAATTTACCACTTGGGTCGTATCGTTCATCTAAGCCGATTCTGAAAAGACACAGGGCATATTGCTTTTTAAGCACCTCTCACTGGAAAAGGACATCATTGCTTTCACTAATTTAATAATCTTCATAATCGGCTGATGCATATCGAAAGCAGAGAGTGACAAAAAGCGA